CAGCACTCTTGACTTAAATCACTTGGAATCAGTAAAATTTGGTTCCCATCTCTCATTTCACATCTTTAAAGAAGATGAAATAAAGAAGAAAATGTTGGATCTCGATCCTTCCAAAGGTTCTGGTCCAGATGAAATACCACCTATCCTTCTCAAGAAGTGCCCTGCTTTATCTGCACCACTGTGCACAATTTTCCAGAGATCATTCGACAGAGGATATGTCCCGTCCAGATGGAAATATTCTAACTTGGTTCCAATTTTTAAGTCCGGGGATAAATCAGACATAAAAAATTATCGAGGCATTTCTATGCTATCAGCAATTCCTAAGCTGTTGGAATCAATCTTAACAGATGAATTATTTTATACGTTTAGGAATTACATAATAGATGAGCAGCATGGCTTCTACAGAGGCCGTTCAACTACTACTAATCTGGCTATTTATCAGGAGTTTATTACCTCTTCGGTTGAAGCTGGTTACCAAGTTGATACAATTAACACCGACCTCTCTAAGGCGTTCGATAGTGTATGTCAGCAGTTACTTTTAAAGAAACTATCTGAAATTGGGATAACAGGCAATTACCTTAAGTGGATTAAATCCTATCTTATTAACCGTCGGCAGCGTGTTACAGTGAATGGTTCTGTGTCGCGGGAAGTGACAGTGTCTTCGGGTGTACCCCAGGGTTCACATATTGGCCCTATTTTATTTTTGTTATTTATTAATGATGTAGTGTCCTGTTTTAAAAATTCTCATTGTCTCTTATATGCTGACGATTTAAAAATTTTTAATATTGTGGAACCTAATTATAACGCCCTACAGTCTGATTTAGATCAATTTGTCTCTTGGTGCAGTTCTAACTATTTAGAACTAAACATATCAAAATGTAAAGTTATATCATTTTACAGACGTTCTAACCCCGTCGAAAACTCATACATTATTAATAATACTACGCTGGAAAGCGTCTCCACATTTAATGATTTAGGGGTAATATTCGACAGGGAATTATCCTTTTCTTTACATGTTGATACTATCATTCTGAGGGCGTTTAGGCTATTAGGATTCATAAAAAGAAGCACAAAGCATATACAAGACACTAAAGGAATAACATGTTTGTACAGTGGTTTGATCCGAAGTATTTTAGAGTATTGCAGTACTGTTTGGTCTCCGTCACAAGCTATGTATGTCAACCGAATTGAACGAGTTCAAAACAAATTTTGTAAATATTTGCTATTTAAATTTCGCTTTCCATATCGGGATTTATCGTATGAAACGAGACTGCTACTCTGTGGTATGCAAACTCTTGAACGGAGACGCAGGGATGCAATGTTACTTTTGCTCTACAAAATAATTAATGGAGACATTATTTGTGAAAAATTGTTATGCCAAGTAAATTTTGTTGTTCCGTTAAGGCATACTCGACAGTCACAACTATTCTTTGAGAAAACCCATCGTACAAACTATGGACAAAGAGCTTTCATGAATAGGCTTTTGTGCAACTATAATAAGCACTATTCTCACTGCGATATTTTTAATTGTACGTTATTATCTGTTAAGAGGATGCTCGAATTTTAAAATTTTAGGTTGTTTTCTTGTCTTGTATGGTGTTAGACTTTGTTTTTTAGACGTTAAATGTATTTTAAAATTTCTGAAGAGTTTTGATATTTATATATTCGGTTTTTTTTTTTATGTATATATAATTATACTTTAATTGTTGTTTTAGCTTTAAGACTGTGCCATTTGGAATTCAAATTTCTGTAGTGTACTTAAGACAAATAAATAAATAAATAAATAAATAAATAATAGTCGCTGGGCGCCAAATCTGGGGAGTATGGCGGATGAGGAACCAATTCGTAACGCAATTCATACAGTTTTGCCATTGCGACTGCACATTTGTGTGCCGGTGCGTTGTCCTGGTGGAAGAGCACTTTTTTCTTCGCTAAATGCGGTCGTTTTTGCTTCAAATCGTCGTCGAATCGGTCCAACAGCTTTGAGTAATAATCGCCGCCTTTTCAAGGTAATCGATATGAATAATTCTGTGCGCATCCCAAAGAACTGTGACCATGACCTTGTTGGCAGACAGACCCACCTTGGCTTTCTTTGGCTTTGACTCGCCCTGAGAAACCGATTGATTTGATTGTTCCTTTATCTCTGGCGTATTGTGATGAATCCATGTTTCATCCACGGTTACAAAACGGCGCAAAAAGTCCTTCTTATTGTGGTTAAACATTGCCAAACACTCCTTTGAAGTTGTCACACGGTTTCGCTTGTCGGCATTGAGCAAACGCGGCACCCATCTGGCAGCGAGCTTCGTCATTCCCAAATATTCGTGCAATATATTCTCCACTCGTTCACGTGAGATGCCCACAGCCTCAGCAATCTCACACACTCTTACCCGTCGATCGTCAACTACCATACCATGGATTTTATCGACATTTCTGGTGTGGACGGCCTGGACGCTCATCATCAAAAACTATCATACGACCGTGTTTAAATTCGGCAGTCCAATATTTTATTGTTGATAACGAAGGTGCAGAGTCCCCATACACATCATCCAGTTCGATTTTGATCTCATCGTTCGTTTTCTTTTTTAAAAACAAGAATCTAATCACTACGCGATATTCGATTTTATTCATTTTTGTAAAAATGCAAAATCTGTTTGCCTTCAATCACTGTTAAGTACAAACTAAGTGACGCAGCTCGCTGAAAATTTGACAGAAGTCACTTGAAAGATAGTTTTTACGAAAAACAATTGCATTTGTTCCTAGCGCCGCCAACTCTTGCCGAGGCCGATTATTTCTCAGCCCAGCCTCGTACCTAGGAGTTATTGTTGATCAACGACTAAGAATTTTAATGCACAAATTTTACGAATTACGGGACATCCTAACAAGAAAAAATTTAATAATACTGCATCCCAATATGGGGTGCAGTACTCAAATCCACTCTATCACCATCACAAATTTCACAAAATATTCTTCAAATAATTTTTAGAAAGTATCATTCCACAAATCTTTTATATCAAGAAACTAAATATTCACTTAATATATGTTTACAACTGCCTAATCAGGATGTTCCATGATTCATCAAAGTTCACTACCCTAATTCATCAGAGGGATACCCGGTCAAAAACTAACTTTGATATTAAAACTGAAATTTTTCATAAAACTGCTACTCAACATTCCTTTATGTACTATGGACCTAATTATTTAACAAGCTTCCAAAAAGCTTAAAACTAACAACAAAATTATTTTTTTTTTAAACTGAGGTGAAAACGTTCATAAAAAAATGCAGATATATTTAACATCCCTTAACCATATTGATCGCAACAAAAAAAAAGCACAAAAAAACAGTAAATTTGTTTATTTTTTAAATTTTGTAATTTTTTTTGTCTTAACTTCTATACGCTATATTCATTATATGAGTTAGGAATGCTTATTCTATACAGAGTTTGGAGTCATGTACTAGCAAAGACAAAATTATGTTGATCGTAATTTATAACATTTATAGAAGTCTATTATAGAAATTGTTGCATAAATAAAGTCTATTAAAATTGTCTGACGATGTGAAAAGAATCAAATATGTATAACTACCTGCAGGGTATTTTGCTTTAAAAAAATATAGGTCAGCACCTCGTTTATGGAACCCTGTATATTTAATAAATATTGTTAAATATGGTCATACAACTTTTATATTAAATTTTTTTTTCGTATTTCCAATAATAAAACGGTTATCAATCAATTACGTACTGATAGGACACCCTGTATATGTGTTATTGGCTAACATGTTGGTTTCGTTGGATAGGCAAATTTATAAGAAATATTTACGACGTTTCAAAACATTTTTTAAGTCATAAGATACTTCCAAACCAAGCATAATTCTGCACTTTCAAGTTGTCACCTAATAAAGACTGGAGTACCACAAGGGAGTGTTCTGGGGCCTATATTATTCTTAATATATACCGCGGACTTACCTACTACAAACAATACTAAAAGCAATGTTCGCAGATGATACAGCCCTTCTATCAACACACATTAATCCAGTTATTGCATCGCAATAACTCCAATATCATCTAGATGTATTAAAAGTGTGGTTTGAGCAATGGAAAATTAAAATTAATCAAACCAAATCCGCACAAGTGACTTTCACAAACAAGCGATCAGTATGTCCTCCTGTTAGTTTTAACAACATTCAAATTCCCATTCAGGACGAAGTAAAATATCTAGGATTACACTTAGATTAGAAGCTAACTTGGAAAAAGCACATTCAAACAAAGAGGCAACAACTAAATTTAAAAGTAAGAGAAATGTCCTGGCTCCTAGGACGTAAATCCAAATTATCTCAACAAACGACTACTATATAAATGTATCTTGAAGCCGATTTGGACGTATGGAGTACAATTATGGGGAGGTACCAAACCATCCAATACAAAAATAATTCAAAGACTACAGTCTAAAGTATTGAAATCAATAACCAATGCACCATGGTACGTGAGCAACTTCACATTGCACAATGACCTACAAGTGTCCCTTTCGTCACAGAGGAAATAAAGAGACTCTGAAGACTATATCACAATAGACTACAAGACAACGAAAATCTATACATAGCGCAGTTAAACATCCCTCCAAACGTCACAAGAAGATTACAACAATGGCCCACAGACCTGGTCCAGTAGATACACGACGAGGATTAATCTCCAGCCAACAACTCTAGCCATGGTTTCGATAAGAGGTTCGTCACTGGACGATTTCTCTTTTCAAGTCACCTTCATATAACACATTTAATTATTGCTCCAACGAGAGTAGATTGTAATTATGCAGTTGTCATCGTAAACCTACTTAAATGATAATTTAATTTGTAGTCTGCACCATTCTCTATTTTCATAAAAAAAAAATAATTGCTTGGCAAGCCTGTAACGTTTTTAAAAAAAAATTTAAGATTGAAACCGTTCTAAAAATGAAATAGAATACATTTTTATTTACCAGGCAAAAATGCAACACACTGTATATCCAACAATATTTATAAAATATGTATTTTTCAAATTCATATAACTTTTATGTGAAACTTGTTTGCATTTTTGTAACACAAATTGAACTATTGAACAATTACGTACTAATGGGACACCCTGTATAAAATTTAAAAAAAAATCATTGTTAAAGGGATCAACACAAACGCATTGGCCAATATCAAAATTTTATTTTATATATATCGCAAAAAATGATGTACAAAGATAGCGTAAATTGTAAAAAAAACATGTTGCTTTGTTAAATAAACTTTGTGCCAGAATAACGTAATGCCTTCTTTTATTTTTAACTTCTATGCCCACACACTAATAGTTATCGGTTTTTGGATTTTGTATTTGACTGTTCTAAAAAAAGTCCAAAGAAATTTGAAACACATACCTACTTAAATAAATCAAATAGAAATATTGTAGTGCCCCAAAAAAATGTATTCATCATTCTGGAAGTTAAATTATAATCCCATTAAATTTCAACATTGTCTACAAACCTTCCTTAAATATTACATACATGCATTTTTCAACCCGTGTATATTAAGTCCATAAAAAAATAAAATGACTTTCAAAAAAAAAACAACTAAAGTTTTGACTAAGTTTGATAGCTAATAATCTTTTTATTTCTTCACATTCAATAAATAAATATCAATATTTTAGGACAGAAATTGTTACTTTTTCTCCCTGCCAGGCGTCCACATAAACTGCTAGAAGAAAATTGTAACTTTCTTTCCATGTAAATGATAGTTGTTAATATTATTGGAATTAAAGATGTTATACAAAAACAATTAGGTTGTTTCTGCTTTAGAGTTTGAAAAGACCTATAAAGTAAAAAAGAGAAGATTTTTCAAAATTTACATCAAGACAGTATAAAACTTTGAAAATATTAGTTTAAAAGATACCTACTATTAAATTCTTCAGTTTTGTGATTTCACAATAATCCAGTTAATGTAATTACTCATTAAATATACATTACTATTAAATAAAAAAAATAATTTAAACACCCAATTCAGTTTGAACTTTTTCTCTTAAGATTAACCCACAATGGCATCTTTCCCTGAAACCAAAAATAAAAAATATATTCCAGTAAAATGTCTTTATAGAAAACATCATTAACAATCTTAAACATTTCACTAATTACAATACAAAATCTAAATATAAAAATAAGATACTTAAAACCAGTTCAAAAACAAACAAACCAATCCAATGTTTACTTATATACCAAGAATATATAAATCATTTCTAAGGTAGATTATAAAATGTCTTTTGAAAAATGAGAATATGGAACAAAGCTTAAATTATAAACGAGAAAAACATTCTTGGTATATCGCTTAAAATAATAATAATAATAATAATTAAAAAAAAACAACAGTAAACTAATGTAGTTTTTACCAAAAACATAATAAGTGAGAACAAGGCATAGTACACACAAGACACATACACCTGTAACAATATCGTCGTTGTTATGACTATTGGTCGTATCTCATTTTTTTTCAAAACTGAGTTAGGTTGCTTAATAGATAACTAAAACTGCATACTTCGTACGCTGGTAACAGTATTTGTAACAATAGTCCAGTAACTGAAGGGATCAACCTGTCATTAAGTCGGTCCAGATTTCCGTTGTGGCTCAACTCTTAGGTCTCGGCGATCGCTTCCAAGGTCGAAAACTTTTACCATCTCTGCTGCGTCGAAAAGGGCCCAAAATGGACCCTAAAACTGGTTTCCCGCCAATATCTTCCACAATATGCAAATTAGAGAATTTTTGTTTAGATTAAAAAGAAAGATCTTATCATTATCTACAAAAATGGTCACTATCATTTTTGTCGGGAATTCGACAAGCTTCGAGATAACCGCAATCAAAAGTCCCCTCGTTCAGCCCCTGCTTTATCTCTATAGCTATGCTGATTAGCTTGTAAACGGGTGGACAAATTGTTTCAGAACTCGGTCAAAAATTGATATTTTTCGATGATTCAAAGTTCATTACAATGGGAAAACCCATAGGTATCGATCCATGTGCCCAGCAGCCCGTTATTTCCTGCCAAGAACATTGAAAAAGGGGTCAACGTTGCGTTTTCCCACTATTTTGGACCACTTTATAGTAATTCATATTTTTTTCTTTTCATAGTTTTTTATCCCATTTTTGTTTTAAATGGGATCTTGAGATGTCTCGAATGATTTCAGAAATTTTTTTCCAGTATCTTCCTGGCGTTTTAAAACAAAATTGATTTGTTTATTTGCATTTTTCATACGTTTTCGGAGTTCTAGAAATCTTTGAAACAAGCAGTAATTAAAAACTCATATTTCATTATATTGTTATTCAATGCACACCATTTTAAAACTTAGAGTGTCTACTTTTCGAATGTATTTTTTTTTTTTTTTTTAATAAAGTTGCTCCTTTTTCCAGAAATCGGGAAAATTGATCACACCGGGGAAAACCGGACTTTTTTTTTAAATACTTCTTGTTCCCCGCTGTTAATTTTTTGAACATTAATACCCAGACCGAGGTGAAGCTGATATTTTCACCTTTCCATTTCTATCAATTGATCCCCGTATGTGAGCGTGGTTCTTAAGAGCGATATCCATGCAACACCTAACAGCAAATTCAGATTTAGAACACACTGACAACTTTCAGTGCATCTGAACCCACTTTGGCAACGTTGCTCTATTCCCAGGCTTACGCTCCCTTCAATTTATTACTTATAAACTATAGATGATTTAAAATATTAAAAATGCCGATAAATCGCAGGTCCGGTCTAACAAAGAGTATTTCTGTTTTGTTTTCTCGTTTAAAATATTTTTTAAAGGTATAACCTGGTGTAACATTTTCGAAAAATTTTTTTTATAACTAATTTATTTATTTACGAAATATATTTTTAAATATACATATGTATTTCTACATTTTCTTATATACAGGGTGTTTGTTGGTAAGTGTGAATGATTTTAGGGAATGTTTGCCGAAGTTATTTTATAAAAAAAACATAGATCGAAAAAGTCAGTGGCGCAGTACTTTTTTATTAAAAAAGTGGCATTCTCGCACAAACGCCACTGGTACAAGTAGAAATATTTGGAACACCCCAAAAAATACACATTTGCCCCTTCAAAGTTTTTTTGCAAATTTAGAGTAAATATCTTTAAAACTATTAAAAATAATTAATAAAATTTAATAAATTAAAATTTAAACATTCTGTATCTCGGAAACGAAGCATATTTCGACCTACTTTTATAGGAACTTCTTTTAACAAAATAACTTTGATAACAATTTGCAAAAATCATTCGTACTTATTTACAAACATCCTGTATAAAAATACGTTTTTTAAATAATAACCCATTTGATACTAGTTTGTGCAACAACAGTGGACAATCCACTGGAGTTGTACAGTATGTTTTTTTCTACGACCCACTAACGAAAATCTACAAATTTAAAGTATTATTTTAGGAAAAGACAAAATAATTAATTTTAAAATAATTTATGACTTTACTAATTTGTGAAATAAAATAAACATGAAAAAATATTTCATTTAATTAGTCCCCAGCCCAGATTTGAACTCGGGCCTCTCGCGTGAAAGACAGATGCCGTATCATCATTTTCACCTCCACATTTAAAATTTTAGTTCTAAAAGTAGTAATTAAATTAGTTTCATGTAGGTAGTTTAATTCAAATTTAGGATTTTTTAAATTGTGGTCTAAATTAAAATTATTTATGAATCCTACGCAAAAATAACTCATTTTAATGTATATTTAATCTCAATTCCTAAAAAATATACTGACAATTAGTTTGACAGAATTGTCACTTATTTAAAATTTTAAAAATAATAGTTGCTGGGTGTCCAATATATAAACTGTGATTGGTGGATTTCATTTTTTTGCAGTGTTCTCACTACCCAGAATGGATATGAAATATATTCGTTGAGTTGAACGCAATAGTATATTTTTTCGTTTTGTAGTCTGTGCGTGAATAGTAGTTTGTGCAACAAAATTGGATATGATGGCCATATCGCACGAAGACGAAGTTTCAGAACGACGCCGTAGACGGAGTGCTTAATCGTCTGATTGCGATACAGACAATCCACTCGAGTTGTACAGTATATTTTTTCTACGACACCCTAACGAAATTCTACAAATTTAAAAAAGTAATTTATTAAGACAAAATAAATAATTTTAAAATAATGTATGACTTTTAATAATTTATAAAATAAAATAAACATACAAAAAGATTTAATTTAATTAGTCCCCAGCCATGATTGGAACTCGGGTCTCTCGCTTGGAGACAAACTCCGTGCCGTCGCCACACTTGCCATTATAGTTCTAATACTTGTAATTAAATTAGTTTTATATGGTTTGATTAAAATTTAAGATTTGTTTATAAATTTGGACGAAATAAAAATAGAAATTCTATTACTTATCGATTATACATAAGAAATATTCATTTTTACGTATATTTAATCTCAATAATTCAAAAATATACTGACAGTTAGTTTGACTACATTAAATTTAAAAAATAATAGTAGCCGGGTGACCAATATATAATCTGATTGGTGGATTTAACTGTTTTGCAGTGTTCTTACTAGGTAGAATGAATATGAAATATATTCGTTCAGTTGAACGCAATGGAATACTTTTTTGTTTTGTAGTATGTGCGTAGATTAGCTAATATTCATGTGGGTATAGAAAAAAGCATATCCATGTGGATGTAGAAAATAGTAGTTTGTGTAACATGAGTGAATATAAATTTAATTGATTTCATATAGTTTAATTAAAATTTATAATTATTTATTTCTAAATATAAATCAAATAAAACTAGAAATGCTATTATTTATCGATTCTACACAAGTATAACTCATTTTACGCAATAGCATATTTTTTCGTTTTGTAGTCTGTACTAGTACTAAAAATATTTAAAAATAACATTGAGTAAAATTATTTATTATTAGTAAAAGAAGGAATAAAAATAATCATTTTTATTGACTATTGGTCGGATTTCTACTCGGAATTCTACTCAAATTTCTAATATCTAAACCTCTAGTGAAACGTGGACCTAAGATTTCGGGTAGTATACAATCTAAATAAAATTGCTTTAGTTTGTTTTCCATATACACCAAAATCTATCATCTATTTTATTTTTTCTACTAACATACTTAAAGGTATTAAAATAAATAAAAAAAAAAATATTTCGTTTAGTTACGTTAAGTTGCCCCTGAACAATTATTGCATTTTCGCATTATCATTAATAATTGCAAATTTTATTATGTTGTCAACCATTGCTTTTTTCGGAGTCAGTTTTGAAGCAGTGGCAGGATATTTAATTTCGATAATACTGTCTGTTCCTAATAAACCGTCGGAACCTAAAAACCATATTC